TTAATATCAGTGGTCTTTTATTGACAATCACTTGTCATGGAGATCACACACACACCATTTAATGAGTACAAACAATGAGAACTTTGTGGTTTAAAAAAAAACCCAATCTTAAGAACTCTGCCTGTATCTAAACAGACCAAAGGGCTTTTTAGACTGGTTTGTTTGCCTTGGCTAACATTTTTGTTCACATAAAGGGAGGTAAAGAAGTTTTATGAACAGCTAAACTATTAAGTTTACCTTACATCCCATACCCTGAATCTCATTTAAGTCTATGCAAAAAATGAGACAGCAATTACACAAATGGAAAGAAGCTTGCAATTTTTGCTTTTTTATTTTGGATTTATTTACAGTTAAAACAATTTGATCAGCAAATTATGTCTGTTGCCTTGTACTCAAAAAATAATACTTTGTTCTTCTTTTAGTCTACCTTTCATCTGACGATCTCTACGTATTTGACAAAGATTGATTAATTTAACCTCACCATACATCTATCAAGTAGACATAGCATGTATCATTCATCATACATATTTTACAGAGGGAGAACCTAATGTACACAGAGGCCAGCGCTTACATTTTCAGAAGCGCTCACACATTCTGACGGCCTCCATTTTTGGATGGCCAACTTAAGACACTTATGACTTGCTTTCCACTCACACTTTCAGCTGTCCACAGTGAGACCTGCAGGTGCTCAGCTGCTCTGAAAATAAGGCTCTAGGGGATCTCATGTTGACCATCCAACTGAAGCATCTAAAATTAGAGGACACTTTTGAAAATTCAGACCACACAGCAGACTACCTGCAGAATTGGGAATAGTATACCTAGATCCTGTGAGCCACCTATAGAACATCTCATCTGCATAGTGTTGTAACTAACATAATACCCTTTAGCAAAAGTAGATCCTAATATGTTCAATTCAGTCTTCCCCATCAATGATTTCAAGCTTCATAAATACAATGGCCTGGGCCTGCTGCAGAGGTTGACATGAACACCCATCCCGAGAAATAACCCGCAAGTAGATGTTGTACCCTCGCTCTGGCTGGCAGAAGGCCTAATTTAATCAAGGGGGTTTTCAACAGTGTCCTAAAGGCAGTGACTCATTATTAAAATAATATTTTAAATATATAGAGCACCCATGCCCAAAAGCCACTGGGTGTCTAAAGAAATAAAGGCAGGGTAACACGATACATTCCAGAACTGGCAAACAAATATTCCCATTGGACCCACTTTCCAACCCTCTATAAAGCTGACCCACATAAAACTAAAACAAATTAAGCACAGGACTGTTACAGGAGTCACAGCTGTAGCAATAGATAATATGAGATAATACAATTGGCTATATAAATGCCCCAACTGCTCATGGATTTCAAGAGTGCATCTGGGCTCTTTGGAAAAATAGGATTTTTGAGACGCAAGAACCTCTGCATAGCACACATTGCTATTGTGGCACAAAACTGATTTTTGACTAACCAGGTTCATTTTTAAAAGAAAGACAAATGTACATTTAGCAATGGTCATTTACTTCTTGAGGGATCCTAAATTACCTGTGCAGCTATCTGCCTTATGGTTTTGCACTTCCGTCCACCACTGTAGTATTCGAGTGCCTTTCCCGTTAAATAGACAGACAATAATGAAGTCAATCGAGCCCAGACCCACTGATTTCAATGGAAGTTAGAAGCCTAAATACCTTTGTGGATCCTTGAAATCTCTGGCTCTTCTTCCATTTGGGGTTCTAAAAATCTCTGCTTGGGGCAGAGTTGCTTGTTTGTTTTATTTTTTTCAGAAGAAAAGAGTCAGTGATTGATGTTGTAAATGTCTCTCTAGTTATGGTGGGAACCCTTTGTCAAATAGGAAAACCTCTGAATTAACTGTCCATCCCCACCATATCTGCTTGCAATAAATTTCCATGATAAATACATTTCAAGCCCTGCTATACAGAGCAGCATGGTCCTGCAAACAGCACAGAGAGCCAGGAATTTAAAGTGTTCTAATCTCTGCTCTGACACTGACCTCTGTCATTAGCCTCGGGCAAGTCATTTAATTGCTGTCTCAATTTCTCCCTCTAAAATGGAAATAACAACAACATCTGTCTGACTGGAGTGTTGTGAGGTTAATGAATTAGCCAACATTAACTTTGGAGAACATCTAGAGATATTTAAGAAGATATGGGTCTAGTATCTGAGGTTGAATTTAATATATATTCGTTTGTAATCATGTTGTGTTTTTCAGATTGCCTAAATATAAATATTGTTTTATTATTTAGATGTAGAAATGTTTTATAGGGTGTATTTTGTGCTATTTAAGCAAATAAATAAAATACTTTATAAGTTAATGGTTGTAAAGTGCTTTGACAATAATCAATTCTAAGTATTTATTATTATTACAATTACTTCTATTGCGGTAATGGCCTGGGAATCCCAAAAAAGTCTGAATGAAAAAAAGCATGACACAGCTAACACTACTTTTAAATATTAAATTAGTTCATGTAGAAGCTGCAACCTGGATAAAATAATCATTTAGCAAGTCAATCTCGTGCACCAGTCATAAGGCAGTCAGTACACCTTACCATAGATTTCAGAAGTTTCACTCAAAAAAACCCGTCACATTTCTTTGATCCAGTGGTTTATGCTCAACAGTTCTTAAACTTGAGCCTTTTTTCTACATGCTATTACTGATAACAATCTACAATACATTTTATTTATACAGCATCTAATGTATAAAAATATCCTGAGCTTTACAAAACAAATCCAGATGGCAAAACAAACATACCAGATTAAAATCAGTATAAAACCTTAAATAAAATCAACATGGAGGTATATCCAAAGAGGATTTATGCAAATTACTTTTCCAACCACACCAAATCCCAACATAACATGTATTATAAACCAAAGACATCTAATCAAATAGATCTTGCATGTGCAAAACCTCCCACATTTTCTGATGAACAATTCTCTTTCTGGTTTATTTTATTGCTTTTCTTCAAGTCTGTTGCTCTTATTCACACTTTGCCTCTCGTTCTTTATAGTGAATTTTTGCAGAGTCCAAGAGTTATCATGGAAGGCACTGGACCAGATTCACAGCTGGTGAAAAAGGCACAACCCAGTTAATTTGAATAGAATTAAATCCACTTATACCAATGTGATTTTGTCCATCCACGTCCTGTTTTTTCCCCTTAAGTGTGACAATTATGGATGGCATAATGGCCAATATACCAGGAATAGTTCATCTAAGTGGGTGGCATAAACCTAAAAAGAAAGAACACGGATTCTAAAAATATCCATTTCCTGAAACACTGCATCATTATGTAGATACTAGTCGTTTTCCAGTCAATCAGTTTTCTCTTTTTGCAACAACCATATTCCTTCTCTAAACTATCCAGCACAGAGAACTACATCATTTCCAAAGCTTTAAACTACCAGACGGCATCCAAAGGGTCAAGTGTTCAAAAAGCACATTAAAGTAAACCACTTAGGTCTTCTGGAAATCAATGAAATACACCATACCGGGAAGTATTTGATAAGGAAGAGACTGAAGTGCATTGGCAAATCTGTGAAAGGGGAGCTCACACATGGCAACATGCCTGCATCAGGCCTGGGTCACATCAGTGTAATGCCATGCTTTTAGGTGCACTGAATTCAACCCCAAAAGTCAAAACAAGAAATGAGAGTACAGCTGATCTTTTTATTAAAAGCATGTGGATCTCACTCCCTACAAAGTCACCCTTCCAGCTCTGTGATATAAGTACAAGGCTTAAAATAACTTTTTTAAATTAACATAAGCTGCACTTTCCCCCCTTTTGTTGTAACTGCTAAAGCTAAATATGAAACTACCAAAATCATCCAGGAAGTCTAAAATAGAGTGTTCCTCACTCTCTCTGGAGTCTGTTCATTCTGATGCCAATATTGGCAACCGTCCATTTTATATAATACATTTAATCAACAAAAGGGCACCAGTCCAAAAACTGGATACATCTTCCAGTCCAATCCTAGCTGAAATCTGCTCATTCCCACAAGGGTGAATCTGTGCAGCATTTAACACCTACCTAAGATGCTAACCAACCCAAAGTGCTTCAAGACAAGGTAGCGTTCAACAGTTAGTGTTCCAGAATACGTGTCTGTTACTGAATCAATTCCAACACAAGAATAATGTACAAATGAAATTCAGCATACAGCTGAATACTAATTATAAAACGTTAGTTCTTAGAGCTTCTAAATTGCCAATTTTGTATAGCCAAGAATAGTTTCATTTGCCCATAACTATCACCATACCAGTATTCCCTGTATACTCTCCTTCTCATCAACACCCTGCTGCACCTCCCTGAGAACTAGCAAACTCAGTCCTACAAAATCAAGTCAATTTCAGCATAGAAAATATTTTTACAACAGCCCCACTACAAAGCTGCTTTTTAAGTTTTTCAGATGCCCATAGGAGTTTTCCATGGCTCCTAGGGGACTAAAAGCTTTTTCTTCCCCCATCTGTACAGTTATAGCTTATGAGCATCATTAATATTTGACTACATACAGATTTCTCTCTCAAAAGGTTAGTGTTCCCCTCTACTGGGGGGGGGGGAAATACACAACAGCACAAAAGAAAGGAGGGAAAGAAAGATGTGGGATGGGTGATCCAGAGTGAGAAAAATGAATCCGGAATCTCAAACCACCCATTCAAGAATCAAAAATGAAAATGTATTCAAGGTCTCCAAGGCTGACAGCACAAAATACATTATAGTTTTGATCTTCAGAGGGGGAAAGAGACACACATAGAGGGACTCCCAGGAGGGGGGGAACAAGGCCAGATTTGGGGAGACATGACCACACAGATCCACTTTCTGCACTAAGTGATTTGCCATCATTTAAAAAGTAATCCGACCAATCTGAATACATAAATGCCATGATTAATAATAAGATTTTTTAATATATCACCAGAAAATCTATTTGCAAACAACAGAAGAATAGTTATTAAATTTAAAATATATATATATATATTTCTATCTTCAATCTTACCTCCAGAAACAAGGAGAGCAGGAATATGACCCACTGCTGGAAATGGTTCATTTCGCCTCTTCTTTCTGTATCCTTATTTTCTCAGGTGCACATGAAAGCTGTCAACAGAGCAAGCCCCATCACTGTCACTGGGGGGGGGGAAGGGGGGCAAGAAGAGGATCAAGGGGTGAGCATGGCGGGGGCGACACCCAGGGGCGATGCCTTGATTGGGTGGGGCGGTAGGGTGGGTTTGGGGGGAGGAGCAGCAGTGCACACACAGAGGGATCCCCTGGCTTGGGGGAGACAAGGAGAGATGGGGGAGCCACGCCCACCCCGATCCCCTGGCGAGGGGGAGAAGGTCAGGGCTGGTCAGTCCGCAGTCAGGCTGCCCTGCGCCCTCCCGGCCAGCAGCTGCGGGGGGACCGTCCGGCGCGGGGAGCCTGGCTCGGGGCCGCGGGAGCAGCAGCGGCAGCAGGGAGCGGATCCCGGCGAGAGCGGCTGAAGCGGCACAAAGAGGCCCGGCGCCGCGGGGCGGGGAGAGAGGAGCGGCGGGGACCCGCCCCCGGGACCGCCCCGCGGCGCTTCCTGGCCAGGGAGCCGCCGCCAGCTTGGGCCGGGAGCAGAGCCGGGCTGCGGGCCGGGGCTGCCCGGGAGGAGACGGGCGATGGGGCCGCGCCCAGGCCGCAGGGGGAGGGAGCTGCTAGGCACCTGGATGGCAGAGCAGCCCGGAAGGGAAGGAGACCTGAGCCCGCTGAGCTGCCCTGCAGCCTCCCCCTCGCTGCGGGCTGGAGAGTTCCCAGCCCCCGGGCCTGGCCTCCTGCTGCCCAGCTTCCTGGTGTCCAAAACGCGCCCAGATTTTCATAGGCGCGAGGCCAGGGCTGAAAACCTGCCCTCTCCTTGTGCCAAACGGCAGCGGCTAACGCCAGGCCTGGGATGGCTGCGGGGGGTGGGGGGGTTATAAACGGCCATAACAGAAAGTGTCCATCAGGCAGCCTCTCTGGGTCAGGGCCCATGTTCGGTAGGTGGGATTAATGAGGACACTTGAGGCCCCCCGTTTGTGTTGTATGTTACAACGGCCCCTCAGAGGATTAAGGTACCTTGTAGAAGGATTTAGGAACAAATTTTCAAAAGTAATCACTGAGTTTGGATCTTCCATTTCCCACTGGTAAGGCTGCCAGTCTGTCACGGAGGTCGTGGTTTCCGTGACTTTCCAGGACTTCCGTGACGTCTGCAGCAGCGGTGTGGCTGACCCTAGGGCTGTCGAGCTGGGAGAGCCCCAGGGCCCACTGCCCCTGCCTCTGCTTGGGTAGCCCCAAGCAGCTTGACCCAGGGGGACGCCAGAGCAGCAGGGGACCTGGGCGCTGCCCTGCAGCAGCGGTCGCTGCGCCCTGGGGGGCCGTCTCCCCAGAGCAGCAGCAGCGCCCTGGCGGCCTCCAGGGCATCTAAGATTTAGTCAGGGGTATTTATAATACAAGTCATGGACAGGTCAGGGGCCTGTGACCTGTTCATAACTTTTACTAAAAATACCTGTGATTAAAACGTAGCTTTACTCATTGGCCAACGTGAGCTATCCTGGCCTGGATTAGTCAGATATTCCTAAGCAGCCACTGCACCCACGGAAGGCAATAGTAGCTGCAAAGTGAAGGTCCCCATTTTGGCCAACATCAAGGACTGAACCAGGGGTCTCGGACCTAAAAGCAAGAGTCTGTGCCGTTTAAATTAAAAAGGTAGGAAAGAGCTGTAACAGACTTGCAGCCTCTGTGACTTGGACATAGAAGAGAACATCTAACACACTGACTGGTGGGTTACACACACCATCTAGGAAAATCAGATCCAAGTTATTTCAGTGGCTATTTTTGAAAATTTGGCCCATAATCCTTAATGTGAAATGAGATGCAATGCATATACATAACTGTCTAAAATCAAATGTAGGCTTAATAGTCTTCAATTACAGGGTTCTGTCCTGAACTTGCATTAGAATTTAACTCTCTTTCCCTCTACTCCTAAGGGCATTCTGCATAAAAAAGTTACGGTTTCTGCACACAATATTTTAAAGTTCTGCAAAATTCTGCACATTTTATTTGTCAATAAATTAATTTGGAGGTGCCAGCATGGCAGTGGGGAGCACAGGCCACTGGCTGCAACGAGGTGGAAGATTGCCCATCCGCCCTCCTCCCCCCCCCCCCCCAGACATAGACTCTGTGGTGAGGCTGCACTTGACACTGACACAGTGCAAGGACCAGGCCTGCCCCAGAAACACCCCAGGGCTCTGCCCCTTTGCATCAAACGCACCCGTGGGTCACACATATAAGAGGTTTGGGGAAGCTAAGCTTCCCCCAAAAAATGCTGGCCATGCAGGAGAGCAAATGCCACGGATGCTGCGCAGGTCACCTCTTTTTGGAGGTGCACTGGCCTGCCACCTTTGGAGCGCCAGAAGCAAAGCTCCCTAGAACTGGGAGCAACCGGTGCCCAGACTGTGGCCCTGACCGCACTTCACCCCAGGCTCCACCCCCGCTCTGCATCTTCCCCCAGGGACCTGTGCTCTCTCCACCTCTTCCCCCTAGACGCCTCCCGCCCACCACGGAGAGGAGCAGCCAGCCAGGACTTAGGGGAAGCAGCGGAGAGAAGCAGGGAGGGAGGCATCTGGAGAAGAGGCAGAGAGGGGTGAGGGTGGTCTTAGGGGAAGAGGAACAAGCAGCGGGTGGGCAGGGAGGGTCTCAGGGGAAGAGGCAGAGAGCGGGGGGGGTTTGGGAGGAGGCAGAGTGAGGGTGGGGCCTCAGGGGAAGAGATGGAGTGAGGGCAGGGCTACGGTCTGGGTGCCTGTGACCCCCCCCCCCCTTTCAGGGAGCTTCCAGCATTGTGAGTAAGCCTCCCCAAATGGAAGACTCACACACAGCCCATGAGTGAGCCAGGTATGGGCAGGCAGGCACAGCCCAGCAGGATCCAAGTGTGGAGGGGTTTTAGTGTGTGGGGATCCAGGTGTGAGATGAGAGGGTTCTGGGTGGGGCAATCTGGGTGTGGGCAAATCAGTGGGGGGCTTGGTGAGAGGGGATCTGGATGCAGAGGTAATGGGACTCTGCAGGGAGGTCTAAGTGAAGGTGGTTGGGGCTCAGCTGGAGGGGTCTGGGTATGGGGGACTCAGAAGGGGGTCTAGGTGCCAGGGGAGTAAGGCTTGGTGGGATGGGAGTCCTGCTGCAGCTGGTTGGGGCTTGTGGTTGGGGGTGGTCCAGGTGCAGGGGGGGTGGGGCTCATCAGGGTGGGAGTTCAAGTGTGTGTAGGGAGGTCTGGGTGCAGGGGGGTTCCGGATGCAGGGGGCGAGGCGCAGCAGGGTGGGAGGTTTCTGGGGGGAGGCTCAACAGCAAGGTATGGGGTGGTTAGATGCAAGGGAATTGGGCAGATGGGGAACAGGATGTGGGGGGCATGTGCAGAGCTTCCTGCAGCTGGGGGAGGTTTTTTCGGGGGGGTGTCTGACCGAGCCCTGGCCCCAGCTGCTCCGTGCAGGGGAAGAGGAAATCTTGTCTTCTCCCTCCCCTAGTCCAGACTAGCAGCTGAGCCTGGTGCTCCTGCATACATTGGTGGGAGCTCTGTGGTAACAGAGAGATAAAGGGAGAATTCTGGCGGCAGAATTGGCAATTGAGAAGGGGCTGGGAAAAGTCAGAGGAGAGAGAGAGCGCACGCATGAGCAAAGGCTTGGAGAAGGAAATTAGGGTCCTATGACCTAAGGTTTTTTGCTGGCCTCAGAGGCTAGCTCTGTCTGTACTTCCAGTTGATAGCCCACTGGCCATGTATAGTGCCCTGAGTGGCTGACAGCCAGCTGTTAGGTATTCTTCATTCTCTAAATAACCCAATACACATTACTGACACCAAAGTTAGAGTGAGGATCAATCAGGTGTCAGGAGTTTTATCTTGGTAAAATGAGGGAGTCAACAAGCATGTGGACAAGGGGGATCCAGTGGATATAGATTTTCAGAAAGCCTTTGACAAGGTCCCTCACCAAAGGCTGTTAAGCAAAGTAAGGGAAGGTGCTCTCATGGATCAGTAACTGGTAAAAGGATAGGAAACAAAGGGTAGGAATAAATGGTCAGTTTTCAGAATGGAGTGTGTCCCCCAGGGGTCCTTACTGGGACCAGTGCTGTTAAACATATTCATAAATTATCTGGAAAAGGGGTAAACAGTGAGGTGACAAAATTTGCAGATGATACAAAACTACTCAAGATAGTTAAGTCCAAAGTAGACTGTGAAGAGTTAAAGGGATCTCACTGGGTGACTGGGCAACAAAATGGCAGATAAAATTCAATATTGATAAAAGCAAAGTAATGCACATTGGAAAACATAATCCCAACTATACATATAAAATGATGGGGTCTAAATTAGCTGTTGCCACTCAAGAAAGAGATTGTTCTTTGAAAACATCCACTTAATGTGCAGTGGCAGTCAAAAAAAACCCCTAAGAATGTTAAAAGCAACA